GGGCTGCCCAGGGTTTTCTGCTGTGCACAGAGAAGACCGTGGGGTCTCCAAATTCACCTACGAGGACACAAAAAAGCCCTCCCGCGAGGCAGCGCTGCCTGGGCCTCTGGCGCCGACGGCTCTGGGCTCTGCCCCCGCCCCCCGCTGAGCGCGTCCCCACTTCTGGACGTCCGTGTGTCTCCTGTGCCCGGCTCTGCGGCCTCCTGACTGCGTCCTCTCCAACACGGTGGCAGCTTCTCCACAGAGAGCCGCCCACTCTGCTCCCTCAAGGCCAGTTCCGTTTTCTGACTTTGATGCTTCTTTTTGTTAATCTTGGTTTTCTTCAAATACCTTATGGTTCTAGATCGCCAGTGATTCAGTTAGAATTGGTTGGCTGCGTGTTTAACTGATTTTAGGTTAAAATCAGCAGCTTTAACACAGCCATGTTTTTCTTCCCAGAGGTGAGACTCAAGAGGGCCCTGTGACCATCCCTTGATGTCCCTCTTGCCTCCCCTCCACCACACCAGGCGTGTTCCTCATCTTTGTGGCTTCACATGGCTGCTGGGGCTCCAGCCATCTGGTCTGCATTCAGTCAGCTTCCTCCTGCCCTCTCATCAGCCCTCCCCCAGATTCAGCTTGCTGTGAGTTCTACCCTGGAGGAAACTGTCCCTACTCGTGACACTCTCACTTCCCTTGATGCCACACAGTACCCTGGGTGCTACTCACTGCCCACAACAGGTTTGTCCACATCTGCCTGTCTCCTGTTCACTATCTGCTCTGACCTTCAAGTCCCAAGCCTTGTGTCACCTCATCCCGGGAGCCTCCTGATGACTACACTCAAATGCCCTTTCATCTCCCAGTGCTGACCCTGCTCTCAGCTGGCCGACTGCTGTGGGTGTACTTCTCTGTCCCCCTTCCCGGACCCAGGGAGACAGCATTCAGCTGCTCCTCGCTGAGAGTGAGTGAATAAGCAGACTCATGGCCGGCCCTCAAGGACACGCCGTCCGTCCCGTCCGTAAGGAACACGGCGTCCCCAAGGAACACCGCGTCCCCAAGGAACACCACGTCCCGTGCGGCTCTGCGGCAGCTCACCTGGGTGCCCAGGGCCACCCAGCAGACAAGGACGGGCTCCAGGCTTGGCTCCTCCAGCTGCTGCCGAGGGGCCCAAGCCCCTGCCCCAGCAGGACCAGCTTCCTTGTGCAGGGGGGCTGCTGGCCCACAGTGGGCAGAGCAATGCCTGAGGTGGGCTCAGTCCTGCGGCCCAACCCAGCGCCCCGCCCACAGTCCCGCCCAGCGCCCAGCCTGCTGCCTGCCCAGGGGAGCAGCCCCTTGGTCCAGAGCTGCGTCTGCAGGAGCGCAGGGTGGGCAGGGTGGACAGGGCGGGCGGGCGGCGGCCTCCAGCTGTGCGTTTAAAACCATCGCCCGGAGTGCAGTGGGCAGAGTGGGCGTCTCTGGTCACCACCCTCTGGCTGAACTCCCGGCACAGCCCCTGCAGGTCCCTGGACGCCTCCGCCAGCACGGATGTCTCTGGGCCCCACAGACTGGAGGGGTGCCCGCCCCTGGCCAGCAGGAGCCAGAGCGCAGGGTGCCCGGCACCCAGCAATGGCAGGGCTCAGACCCAGAAGCCGCGGACGGGGCAGCGCGACCAGAGAGTGGGCTGAGCAGGCCCCTCCCACTGACACACGAGGACCCTGGGGCAGGGCACACGGGGACAAGCTTGGGACCAAGGCACAGGCCTGTCTCAGATGCTGCTCAGAGCCCTGGGCTGATGGCAGACAAGCCCCAGGCCCGTGCTGCCCCTGACGGGAGGCAGGCCTGGAGGCGGAGTGTGTCAGGGCCTGTGACGGGTGTGACAGGCGGGATCCCGTGGCTCTGGGAGTGGGGATGGGCGGATGCGGCTGGAAAGTCCCGCCCAGGTGGAGGACAGAGGCCTGGCCCAGGTGGAGGACAGAGGCCTGGCCCAGGTGGAGGACAGAGGACTGGCCCAGGTGGAGGACAGAGGCCTGCCCAGGGTGTCTGGGCACCACCTGCGGGCAGGCGGGGAGACCAGGCCAGACCTGGGCTCTGAAGCCAGGGCGGGCGCTGCCCAGAGACCCTGCGTGGTCAGCCCCGGCAGGGGCCTGGGCTCCTACGAGGGGAAGCCGGTGGGAGGCGTGGGGTGCTGGCCCCGGCTGGGGCTCAGGGAGACGCTGCACCGGGGCCTGGGAATGAAAGAGGGAGGAGGAGTCAGCAGAGAAAGCCAGGTGTGGGCCCCGGGGCCTGTGGGCCTCTATGGAGGGGCCAGGGGAGACCTGTGGACAGCAGGAAGCGCTCTGTGAGCCAGGAGAGAGGTTCCCCAGCCGCGGCCCCACCGCGGGAAGTGTCGGGGACTTTATTGGGAAAGGCGCTGGCCAGGCCGCCCGCGGCGCCACAGGACTGAACGCCCGGGTTCCACACCGCTCCCCTCCGAGGGCGCCTGACCGTTTCTTCTTCAGTGACCAAACCAGGGCCCACAGCCTCCACCCGCCCACAGCTCCTTCCCGCCAGAGCCGGTCCTCGGCTCCCAGGGGGGTGGACGCAGTTCTGGGTCTTCGGTGCTTCTGCGGGCCCCGGGCTCCACGTGTCCACATCCCGGAGGACTCCTGGCTTGTCGGCTCACACGCGGTCCCTGCCTCTGTCCAGCTGGGGGTCTGGGTCAGGCCCGTCTCAGCATGAGAGGCCATCTGGAGGCTGGCTGCCCTCCCTGAGTCCTCACAGGCATTGGCAGGAGGCGGCTCAGGGACCCCACATCTTCAGGAAGCTCAGCTGGGCTCGTGCCCTGCAGGGTGGACGTGCCCTCGTGGTGATGTGGCCAGGGAGGGCCTGTGTCCCTGCTGCCGGCAGCCCAGGAGAGGCAACCATGGCCGACAGGGTGCAGGGGCTCCTGGACCCCGAGTCCACCTCGCTGCTCTCGGGCCTGGGGCCGCCAGCTCAGGAGCTCCCCTGGCTGCCACTCGCAGTGGCCTCGGGGGGGTCGACCCCACTGGAGCCCTGCCCCCCACCCTGAGGTCCAGGGCTGTGTGTGCCTCAGACAGCAGGTGTTGACCCGCACAGGCCACCAAGAGACGGGGCCATCCACGGACCAGCCCCGCCTGCGGCCGGTCAGTAGTGAGCTCCAAACAGAGCGGCCGCCTTCTGGAGGATGGTCTTGTGGTTCGCATACAGTGGGATGCGCCTGTCCACCACCTGCCAGCGGATGGACACCCCGGGGTCGCGGGCGTGCAGGTACTGGAAAGACAGACACGCCGTCAGTCCCTCCCCAGCACCCCACACCCGGCTGCAGGGTCTCTCGACCATCGCGTGGCCACTCGCTTTGCAAAGAGGGAGTGGGAACACCTGCCACAGGTGGGCGGCCCCTGCCAGGCCCGGGGACTCTGCGTGAGGGGTCACCACGCCGCCCATGGGCAGGAATCTCATCCTGTCAGGCATATGCAGGACTAGGCCAAGTGCAGGGGACGGTGACCCCACAGGAGGGCTCTTCGCCAGCCTCACCCCAGACACGATCCTCAAGCGTCACTGGGCTCCCGCCACCAAAAGACTCAGGTCCCAAGATGGGACTCTGTGGCCACCTGTCCAGCCCCTCAGCTCTGGCCATCTGCTGAGGCTCTCTGGCCTCCCTGATGCCCCTTGGTTCCTTCCAGACAAGACTCTGACCCCCGCAGCCTCCACTCTGGCCCTGGGCCTGGGCAGACCCCTCCCCTGGAAGTCCTGGGGGCACTCTGGGGCACACCCTGGCCAGGACCCCCCACGCTGCAGGAGCCCAGCCTCGTACAGAATTCAGCCTCTTCAGCTCTACGTCATTGTGGTCCTGGAAGTGGACGCTGATGGCCACTGTCTCGATCCAGGCGTTGTCCGTGTTCCTCGGGTCGTCCACGTACCCTTTGTACACCTGGGGCACGGCAGAGAAGCTGGGTGAGTGGACCCCAGGCACGCCAGCCCACCACTGTGGGGCTCAGATCTAGGGAGAGGGGCCTCCCGGGACAGGCGCTGGGCACCGCCGTCCGCCCTGAGCAACCCCCGCCTGGCTGGCCTGCCCGTGCTGCCTACTCAGGGCCGCCCGCAGGGTTGCCCAGCACAGGTGTCCTCCTTGACCACCATCTTGGGGTTCACTGTTCCCCAGCCCACCCCCAGCCTCGAGCACTGAGGCCCCCGGACATCAGTCCCCTGCCTGAGCTGGGCCTCCAGAGGCCTAGGAAGAATTCAAGGCTGGAAAGTCAGGAAAACGCTCTGCTCAGAGAGAGGCCAGACCCCAGGGCCACAGGCCACAGCGCCTGCCCATAACACATGTCCAGAGCAGGCAGCCAGAGGCAGAGGTGGCCACAGTGGTCAGGGCTGGGCCCTGGGCTGCCAGCAAGAGGGCGTGGGGTTCCGTTTGGGGTGGTGGACTGTTGTGGAACTAGAAGATGGTGATGCCACCAGCATTGAGTGTGCTAAGTGCCAGGGCATGGCATAGTTAGTGTTCCAATAGTCACGTGGATGTCACTTCAGTGACAATAAATTCTTTTTAAATAGTAAAAAAAAATAAAGGAGGCAGGCCCCGCCTCCCAGGCACTGTGTGCAAAGCCACGCGGAGCTGCCGGTGTCCCCTGCCCAGGAGCACTGCTCTAGCGAGTGGCGACAGACAGAAAATGCTCCCGGGTGCTCGAAGGGTGAGGTCGGGGCAGGACCGTCACGGGTCACGGGGAGAGCGAGCCTTAGAGGCCACGGGCCGTGTTTTCAGAAGTGTGCACACATCTGCACACGGGGAGAGCCGGAGGGGGAAGAGGGACCGAGGCTTCTGAGGAATGGACACAGTGGCCTGCCATGGGATGGGAGTGGAGCCTCCTGTCACCCGGCAGGGCTGGGCAGGTCCCCAGCGTCCGTGTGCCTCTTCTGCACCCTTGAAACCACACGGAGCACAGGGGCCAGCATGCACACAGGCGGCGGGCAGCAGGGCCAGCCTGACCTCCACCCCCTGCTGCAGCAGGTCCTCAACGGCCGGCCAGGACTCTCGCCGGAGAATCTGCTTCAGCTTCTGCGGCAGCTTCTCCCCTGGCTCCCGGGACCCCTGGGAGGGAGGGAGGCGAAGACTGGTCAGCAGGACATCCAAGCAGGATGCCAGGCCCTGGGGCCCATCTCCACTGGCCACCTGCCCAGTCTCGGCAGCCGGCCAGCCCCCCAGGAGCCAAAGCAGCCAAGTGCCTGGCGGTCTGGAGTCAGCTGTCTCCGGGATGAAGTGACACTGCCCAGAACCACCGTCCACGTCAGCACCGGAGCCCTGGTAGCCTGAGCAGGGCTGCGCTGGGCGGGGCCGCAACCTCTGGGAGCAGGGACAGGCCTGGGGATCCTGTGCGTGGGCCTCTGGCTCCCCGTGAGGGCAGCTGAATGCCATGGCCTCCCACATCCTGGCCACCAGAGCAGGGGCAGGCCAGCCGGTCCTTGGTATTCGCTAGAGTTCCCCAGTCCACCTCACCCTGGGCTGCCACAGGCTGGGCTCTCGGCACTCAGAAAGCTCAGGTGCTGCCGCTGGGCCCTGGCCCGGGAGTGTATGTCCCAGCCTGAAGACCCGGGCAGCACTGCTGCCCTGGGCATGCGCCTGGACATGCCTCCTGCAAACAGCTGCTGGGCGGGGGATAAGATCAGGCTCAGAGAACTCAATGATTTCTTGCTCAGGTGGATCACAGCCTCCCCAGGAAATGGGGTAGCGGGGGTCCTGCAGGACAGGGCTGCATCCCAGACACCATGTGCCTTGGCCAGGGCCTGAGCACGCTCAGTCCTCCCGGCAGGACGTGCCCCTCTGAGCCCTGCAATAACAAGGGACTTGGTGGGAGGGCCAGTGGCTGGTCTGGGAGAGAACTGGAGCACTCTGGAGCCGCTTGGACAGGAAAGTCCTGGCCTCTGTTGGCCATCCCCACGAGGCCTCTGGGGTGCCCTCCAGCCTTCAGCCCTACAACCAAGAACTGCCCCCGAGCTGGGAGGCCACGTCCCTCCTGCCCCTGCGCAGCACAGCCCTGTCTCTGGGGCTCAGCTCAGGTGCTAGATGGTGAGGGCCGATCTTGCCTGTGACAGCCGTCTCCCCCATGCCTTGAGCACTGCAAGGGGCCCCCAGCCAGCCAGGGACCTGGGCCTGGGACACCATGGCACTCAGAGGCCCAGCTGCAGAACGAGGCAGCCGAGAGCACAGGGGCTTTGCCACAGCCAGAGCCCGGCTGTCCCTGCTGGGGACCACGGGAGACTGGTGCTCCGTCAGGGGGACCAGTGACAAGACAGAAAGGCCGCGGAGCAGCCGCTGCTGTGACCTGCCCAGCTTACCCCTGGCAAGGCCCAGAGCTCTGGAAGAGGACGCTTCACCACCAGCACCTCCAGCATCTTCTTGATGCTCTTCCTGCAGATGGCTCCGTCCTGGTTCCTCCGCCACCTGCAAGGGAGCTGGCTGGCACCTGTGGACGTGGGCGGCACCCACCCTCCTGCTGCAGAGGCAGCCTTCGGGGCTGGGGCAGCGTGCGGCCCCCCTCCTGTCTTCTTTCCTAAGCATCAGGTCCCAGGGGAAGCCCTGAGCCTGTAGCTACTGAGGGAATGTCCTCCCCCAGCTCCACGACAGTCTGCAAATTCTGCCCAGAGCCCAGTGCAGCCTGGGCCAGGGTCCTGGGGGTCCCCGAGGTCACGGCCAGCCTGCACCTGCCCTGGAAGGTGGCCCAGGACCGGGGTCACCAGCAGCGGGCAGTTACAGGAGTCTGAGGCTGTGAGTCATCCAGGGCGTGTGTCCTTGCAGCTGAGTGGGGGTGGTCCTTCCAAGGTGTCGGCGCCAGCAGGAGCCGGTCATGTGCGTTTTCACTGTCTTTCCCCCAGTTTCTGTGACCTTTGCTCCTGGGTGGGGGTCCCTGACTGTGGTTTCTGCCTGCCTCCCGGGGGCTCTCTAAACAGGGGACTCCCAGAGTGAGGGCAGCCTCTAGGGGAGAAGGGGTCAGCTTGGGCTGGTGTGGAGGGTGGTGGCCGGGACGTTCCTGCCCCATTTCAGGTGTGTCCATGTTGAACCACAGACTCCTCCCACACGCCCCAAGTGCCTGGGCCCAAGTGTCCTCCTGGCTCTGCAGTACACAGGGAGTGTCATGTCGGCCCCTCCCATGGGCACGTGGGTGACCACGTCCCCGAGGTGCCGATGTCTGGCCAGGCCTGGTACTCACCGGGTGACCACGGGGTGCAGCGCATGGTTGGGTCCAAAGCAGCTGAGGCTCCCGCGTCCACGCAGCCCAGTGCGGCCCATGGGGTTCCTG